TGCCCCAGTTCTCAACATTCGTAGGAAACACTTGTGATTTGGGCTACACATGAAATTGTTATGTTTTGTACTATGAGCTCCCTCCCCCACCATCTATAATTTTTAATTGAAAACCAGCCTTCATTGTAGCAGTAGAATGATATTATTATGGGTGAGAGGTGTCCCTGGCCCTATTTATCATAATGAGCAGGAAGATACCTCAAACCGCATCTTGAAAACAATTCCCATGCCACTATCATGAGACCATTAAGTCTATAATCTAAACATGTTCTGGCTGCACTCCAAAGACCACTTGATATGAAACTCTAGAACAGTTTTGCTTCACATTTTTTCCAGAGTGACTGCTTTCAGTCAGTACCACCAAACACATATGGGAGACTTTTGCTTTTGATATCAGTCAGCCTCAATGTGAATCAGAAAATGAGGTGGGTTTTTTCTTCTTCTAATTTCCCCTTCTGGGGCAGCCTTCCCCAACCTGGTCATTCCAACTGTGTTGGCCATGTTGGCTGGGGATGATGGGATCTGTAATCCAATTGGAGAAGGCTGATCTGGGTTGTAAAGTAAAAACCGAAACAAACACAAACTGAAACAACCAAATATTATACTCTCCCCGAAAGATAATACTGTACATTAAAGGGAGCATGGGACTATAGGATCAGGCTATCAATTTCTCCCCCCAACGGTATCAACATACATCACCTGAGAGAATGTGTATTTGGGTGCAGCAAGGGAGGGCAAAGTAAGGCCTTCCAGATATCACTGGAGAGCAAATCCAATCAGCCTTAGCCAGCACAGTGAATGGCAAGGGGTGCTCAGAGTTGGAAGCCAACAGCATCTGGAGAGACACAAGTTGCCTGCTGCTGTCAAGGATGGATATGAACTTAGAACTGAAGAGCTGGAAGGTACCCTGTGGACCATTGATCCCATTTCCTGTCCGTGGGAAACTGAAAACCAACTCCTGGCTCTGCAACCAAATGCCTAAACCAATGAGCTATCCAGCAGTTCATTAAAGGCCTTATACAAATACAGTATAGGCTAGGTATTTTTATTCAGGGAATCACTAGACAGTAACAACACCATTACATGTACCAAAGTCATTAGTGGGGAAAAATGCACTTGTATTGTTTTCATGTGGGATGGTTATATTAGAAAAACAGGAGAAGAGGCCATTAAAATCTAGGCAAAATGTTATCAGTTGTGATCCCACACTTGGTTTCTAAGAGAAATATTTGATGAGGATCATGGAATAAAAACAAGCAGCAAGATCCTTTGTAGATTATATCTGTTTGGCAATCACATAATTTTTTCACCCTTTCCCCATAACTGAATTCTCCACCCACCAATCAGGTTAGAGAAAATGTCTAAATATATGCTTACGATGATGGGTTGCAACCTGGGCATTCTGAAAGCAGTGTCTTTAGGCTGTCGATATATAACAGTCTGTCTGTTTGAAATAGCCTCTTTTAGGGCTGTCGATATATATATATTTCAAACAGACAGACTGTATTTGCTGAAATGTCCTCTTCCACAAAACTATTATAGGGACAGAAGCTCTGTCGTCTTTTGCATCTAGCCATCCCAATTTTTTTAATGTGTCAAATTTAGTAATTTTCATAAAGATATTGGATTAGATTTCTGTATTATCTACATAGGAAATACTGTCACCCTCCCTGTCTCTGACATGACTCCAGATCAGATCACCGATATGGTGTCTATGACTCAAAAAATTAAATATGTTTAACAATTAGCCCTACGAATGTATATTGTTGTTGTTTTAAAGAAGACATTGGCTTCCCAAGGGAAAGGTTGGACAAACACAAGCAGATGTGAGGCTTGTGGGTTATATATGCACCTTGTTGATTTTCCAGGGTTATATCCATGTTAACCTGCTAAAGTTAAAACAGGAAAGGAGTTTAAAGACAAACACATTTTATTTTGCATAAGTTTTCATGAACAACACCTATTCACCCAAGGAAGTGAGCCATAGTCCACAAATGCTGATGCCAAATAAAACTTGTCTCTAAGGTGCCGCAAGACACTTTTGTTGTTTTTCCTTTTTGACATAATCCAAAGTCCATCAACCAGAGTCAGGTACACAACACAGCTTGGAAAAGCTTCTTGCTGGCTGGCTGGCTATAGCTGCCAGAAAACTCTCACCAGCATTAGTCCAAGGAAAGGAACTTTTTAAAGTTCTGGGGCAAAATGGTAGCTGCTCAAGAGGAAATCAGTAACATATCTCTGTACTTGGGAACCATGAAGTTAGATGTTAAGACTGAAATATCTGTCATTCTTTGTCAGTATAGCCAATGATGACAGAAGTTGCAATTGAGCATCATTTGAATTCCAGACATTCTCCTGCACTGATATAAAATATATGTAAACTGCCATCTGACAATACAGTACAGGACAGGCATTTTAGTAAGATAAGAGAGTGGGTAGCAGGTTGTTGTCATTGTTAAACAACTAGGAGTGGAAAAACCTCTTGCAAAATAAATTACTCATGATTGACAACCATTTCCTGATCTCTCATTTTCCCCACCCTGACTCAGGTACATTGGCAACAGTCCAGGTAACTGCAATCTAGATGAGGAATTCTCATCTTTTTTGTCCTTTTTATAGCAAAAAAAACCCCTCAATAGTTACATGTCTGTAGCATCATTATAAAACTACTGCAAGCCTTCTGCAGCAACGCATTTCTCATTCTCTAATAAATAAAAATACTATTGGCAGTTCCATTTTTTTTTAAAAAAAATCTTTTTTGACAAATAGGCAACTGTATGTGACAGGTTTCATTGGTCAAAAGGTCAAAGGAAGCTGCAACCAACTACCCGTGCTAACAAGCAAAAAATAAAACACCAAGGATATCACAGCTGTCCAAACCATAACCTAAGAATGGTGGTTGCGCTGTGCTGTTGATTTAGCGAAACACAAAACTCAAAAATAAATCTCCGTTGAGTCGAGCAATATGAAACACTGAGCTTGAATTCTGAAGTGGTGTTCCCTTTAATGAAAAAAAATGTCAGTTTTTCCCTAGCACAATCTTTCCTCATCACCACAATCTGCAAATTTAGCTTTCTTTGTCGTGCAGTTGGTTATCCAAATGGAAACTTGGGCTTCAGAAATATGGGCACAAAGAATCTCCCAATGACAGGACAAGCCATGTTATCAGCTTCTAATTCAATGCGAGCACCTTGTGTGGCTTCACCCTGCTGCTTTTTGTTGGGCTTCAGAATGTTCTAGACTTGCAGCCTAAGCATGAGAATTTAGTGCGTGAAAATGTATTCAGTCCTCTCTTTCAGATTTCTTTCCCAGTCTATGGATATTTTTTCTCCACCTTGGTCCCACTTTTTGAAGGAGACATTTAAACATAGCAATCAATAAGCACCAGTAGTCCAGGGCACAGGGCTCTCTCAAAATAGCTTTGAATATTAATAAGACCACTGTATGACAAGGTAATTGAAGCCTCTCCCCCCCCCTCTTTTGCACTCTCATCCATAAAACCAAACACTTTTCCCCCCTTTCCTTTTTCTTCTAAGCCTCTTTGCTTCAAGCCCTTAATCATAAACCATGCAGCATTTAAAAACAAAACCAAATTCCTAAATCTAATAGTTAGGGCCACCTATGTACCCTACTGAATCTATTGACCTTACATAAATGTTGACTCGTCAAGTTTGCACTGAATTTAGCCTCTAATTAGGGCTATCAACTGGATTCAAGCCAATACCATTTACAAAATTGTTTGGATACCTAAGCTACAGATGTCACACCAAGGAGGATGAAAAAGACTTTTGCAAAACTCCTCCCTTAACCACCCATGATGGATGCACACAGAAGATCTGGAACCATGCCTTGAATGTGGAAATCTTCTACAGCCCACAGACAGTGACTGTGTAAGCACAGATGCAAATCTGACACACCATCTTCCATGAAAGGCAGGGGCTCTAAATTCTCTGTGCTAATGGCAACACACCAGTGCATGCTTGAAGAAGTTGGGTTTGATCCACAAAAGCTAGCTGAATGTTCCAGATATTCAATAATGCTTTAGGTGATCACTTACTCCTCTATTGTACAAGCCATTTGGGGTTCCTTCCCCATATCTATGCTTGAATGGTGCACATGTTTGCAAACATGTAGCACTAGCACATCCATATTTTATATTTTTATATATGTACACTTTAAACACTTCAGATGCATACCCTCAAAACTGTGATGTCTAAAGTGGTCCTGAGAATTATAAACACTTTGTGATTCTGCAGCCTTCATGTATTACTATAGCTGTTTAATAAGCTTAGGCTAACCTTACATGGTTCCAGATATTCAATAATGCTTTAGGTGAGACAACGAGGAGTAAACTGCCTTGTGAATAGCAACCTTAAGATAACTTTTGATTGATTGATTGATTTTTAGCCCATCTTTTTCTTTAAAAAGGACCCAAAGCAGCTTAGAACTTGAATCAAGTGTTTTGATCTTGAATAGTCTACCGATATGCAGTGATGGGTGGTGCCTATTAAAATGGGTAGGACAGAGTGGTCTTTATCCAGCAGAAGGGAAGTCAAAGTCAACAGCAGGTGGGAACTAGCTAATTCTGATTTTGTTTCCATATGCCCCATTGTAATGACACTGCAGTACTTTTTAACATTCAAATTAACTGAAAAATAATCTGTTTTGTTGGTTAGGTAAACCAACAATGATCATACTTGATTCTTTGCTATGAGAAGGAAGTGTGGCTTCTACCACCCTTTCTAGCCCCCCAAGTGGAGAGGCAGGGTCTCACCTGCCCTAATGGACCAGCTCCCATTGCTGACAGAAGGCAAATGGCCAAGAGGAGCAACATAGAGGGAACATGCTACAGAAAATATATCATCAAAGGGCTAATTTGCACAGTGGAAGGCAAAGTAGCTCCAAATCCATGCAGCTTCTGGTAACAGCAGCCAGGAGCACAATCATCAAGGGACTTCTCCTGCAAAGATCCTTAGCACACTTGGCACAACCCAGTTGGCTGTTTGGGTCTTAGCAAGGGCCAAGCTTGACTGACCAATGGTACCTGTAATGAACATAGACAAGCTGTTGCACAACTTCTATTCAACTTCATGAATCTTCATGGATCTTGTGCAGGAGAATTTCCTTGTGGATTGAGTCCCATGACCAGAGCTTGGTAACATTGCTTTTTTGGACTACAACCCTTAGCACTGCCCCAGCTAGGAATCCTAGGTATTGTAGTCCAAAAAGGCAACTTATCTGAGCTCTGTTCATAACATTTACAGAAGTAATTCTGAGCAAGTCAAAGTGCATTACTGAAACATTGTTTGTATTAGTTTTATATATAAATACACACAAACACACACACACACAATTTCTCATCACACTAGTTTCAGGAAAAATAAAGCAGGAGGGGCTAAGAAAACAAGTCCAAGGAAATACTGTTGCTCACCCAGGTCAGAACATCACTGTGATGAGATGTCAGAAGCTGGGAAACAAATCCCCACCGGTGTACCTTTTTAATTCAGCAGATACTGTATGTTGGAATTAAACAAAAAGAATTCCACATCATAGATACAAGACCTCAAACAATCCAAAGCTGTGCTAGATTTAAAAAGCCAAAGCAAACAGACCCACAACACGAAGTCAACCATTCCTTCACAAGAAGTTAAGATTTCTTCTCTTCCTTTAAAAAAAAAGGCAAAGCTCTTGGGTGAAGGCAGACAAGAAGTTGCATAAATTTCCTCGAAGTAAGCTGGAGAAAAATGGTCATACATCATACAGGGTTTTTAAGGTCTTCCATTGCTAGGAATGGAAGGCACACGATGGAAGATGTTTGGGTGTGGATGCTGGAAGAGAGGCAGGGCAACATAAATGCAGATGAATGTGTGATCTGCACATAGGAAGAATAAGTTCAGTCCTTTGTAAACCTGTGCAGGAAAGAGGAGCAGCCTGTACATTTCAGCCCCTCAGTGTTAAACCTTGCAGAGACATACCAATAACAAAGCAATTTTTCCAGGCTTATGCTTCATCAGTGGCCAAAGAACTAAAGATGCTTTTGATTTAATCCAATTGTCTTTGACTCTGCTGTTCATCCTTATCCCTTTTCCACTTGTCCAGGTTGAACAGAAAACTCACAAAGCGCCCATTTCTTTCTTTAGATTACAAGGAGGAAGAGAAGGACATGCATAAACTCCAAAGACCAGGTTATTTCAAGGGCTTGTCTATGCCTTGTTGTAGGTTCATCATCGCTGTGCATTGCTTTCAATGGGAAGAATAGAATGGTGGAGAGCTCTTGTGTGCTTAGGATCTAGTGTCTCGTGCTCTTCTGTGAAACTGTCTGGGCTTCCAGCTCCATCTAATGAGCTTCCACAGCTTGAATTTGGGGACAACATGTCCTGAAGAAGGTCTTCTTGCACAATGCCAGTGTCCTTGTTGACTTTCCCCCTCTGGTTCCCTTCTTCTTCCTGATCGTTGAGTAGCTTGGCCAAAAAGTTGATGTATTTCATAGCCAGGCGCAAAATTTCATTTTTGCTGAGTTTCTTGTCAGGTGGATGAGTCGGGATGAGCTTGCGAAGCTCAGCAAAAGCCCCATTGACATTCTGTTGCCTCCACCGCTCGCGACTATTTGTAAATATCCGACGGACAACCTTTGTATGAGGACCTAAAGATGACAAGACATGCAGAGTTAACAGCAACAGGAAACCATACACTTGTACAGTACAGTGAACTAAATGGCACTGCTGGTTTTTTTAAGTATCCCTCAGAAACTGCACATATTCTAGCTGAGCTACCCTAACACAAATAAAGGGCATTTCTTTATCCCCATAAGAGGCAGGGTTACTACAATTTGCCCTTGTTTCCAAGGACTTTGCCTATATCTCTATTCTATCAGAGCCTCCTACAATGCAACCTGACCAGTTTGCAATCCAAGGGTCTCTAGGAGATAGAAATATCTACAGGGGATTTGTGGAAAATAGCCACCCTCCCCACACTACTTCATCATAAGTACACTATTAAACCTTTGCCCGCACATTATCTTAAACCAGATATTTTTTCATCATTTCTGGAGCAATTTCCATGGCTTTGTGTATACCTTATATATTTATCTTTAAAACAACGCAACTGATTGTCACTTGAGTGGGGGGTATCCAAAGGCGTTTCAGTGACTGCACTTCAGAAATAAGACACCTTTATTCCTACACAACTTTAAAACTTTCATTTCAAACTTGAAAATACTGGATTAGATCTGAAAGTGTTCATGCACTCAGAAAGGCTCTTCCACACATACAGGGCATCTTTACCCAAGGGTCGCTATCCCCTACCTTCCTTTGCCTATATCACTAAGGTATTTCATCCCATGCAATTCTATGAAGGTATCTGAACCCTAACTGTAGATGTTTAATGAATGAGGTTGAGGAAACTACAGTGAAGACAAGGGGCAAGGAAAATTCTGTTGGGTCAATTTGTATAACATGCTTCTGCCTCTCTGGATCTAATCCATTCTAGGACTTCGGAGAAAGCTATTCTATTCCTAGGTAGACAGATGTCCACCCATCTCCAAGGACACAATTTAATTTTACTAATAATATTGTTAAGAGATTCTGAGTCAGGACCAGAATCCATTGGTTTCAAGTGTCCCTTGAAACCAGTGGTCTTACCAGTCATCTGTTTAGGCTAGTGTTTACTAATAATACTTATTGTTAAGAGATTCTGAGTCGGGACCAGAATCCATTGGTCTTACCAGTCATCTGTTTAGGCTAGTGTTTCGGATGGAACTCTCAGCAAAAAAAAACTTTGCAGAGGTGGAATACAATGTTTGCCCATGTTCATGTTTTTTATAGCATTTGGATTTAAATTTGGATTGCTCACTCTTCATCCTTCTCATGTGTTTGTGTATCTCTGTTGCAGATGTTTACACCTTGTGTAAACAGCACAGATGAGACAGGACTGATATAAATAACAAGTCAACAGGGAGGATGATACAATACAGATTGTACACTGTATCAGTATGTTGACTGTACCTTACGGGCTCTCCTGTTGTCCCTTTAAATCTAGTGAACTGTAAGGGCACAAACTGGAAGCCTCCAGTTCATTCTACAGCTCAGTCCTGAAGTTCACTACAATGTCTTTTTTAAAGTTACTGTTCTTTCAAGTTCAGCCTCATACTCTAACATCAGAGTAACTGTTGTGGCCCACTTTAAAAGGCTTATACAAAACTGTATAAAAATGCTTAGAGTATTAAGAGAAAGCTCAACATAAATACTAAGGCCAGTATCTCATTCAATTTGCGGCATGAGTAACTGCAGAGACAGAAGCAGTTGCAGAAACAGAGAGAGGTCCAGTTGCCTCCATGCTTGCATGGTAGGCAGGCAACAGCTGGACCTCTTCATGATGCCACAGCTGCTTCCATGTTTGTATGTATGATAAGTTGAACAGGGCATCAGCCTAAGTACTGTCACATTTCTATATACTGTATTCAAAAACTTATATGTTGTGAAAAGAAAGCATAGACAACAAAGGATTATGAGCTATTATCTGGACTACAAATCTCATTGCTATTCATTATATCTGATCGGGCAATATGATGTTCAGGATACATGTACACTGTGAGTGTCAGAATTCTCCTGTACCTGAGGCCCAGGGAGAGAACCAAACAGCAATTCTGCTCTTTGTAAACTATGGAATGTCGTCTTCTGTCAGAAACCACTACCACAAGTATGACGGGGCACTGGTTCATTGCCTTATTACATGTGCAAACAGAAGGGCTTTCCACTAGTTCTGATCCTGGCTGTTATTCCCAAATCATTTCTAGCAAATTTGTACATATCTTCAGAGAAGCTGAGATGCATATGTGGAGGTTTTGAAGACTGCACTGCTTGGTTGAACTAACAAAAGAATAAAGACCCTGAGCTCTGACACTCTGTCCCACACTAGCTCGCCCACCCTAAAAAATCAAAGCAGGAAGTTGATCGTGTGGGATACGCCCACCTGATCCTAACAGATGATCTTGCTCAATGCTCCAGAGGAAGGTGAAAAAGCCTCGGTGTCTGCCATTGTGCCGTGGGGGAAATTTCCTTCCCGATGCCAACCCAGGCGACCAGTTCAACCCTGTGCATAAGAGCAAGAATCACCATATGTTAAAACAGAAAGCCAAAGCAAATTTTAATCTCCTTTCTTTTCCCTAAGCAACATTATCCCATATTCTGCATGAATTATGAAAATGCAGGTAAGTTCTACAGACAAGTGACTTAATTGGCATAAATTAATTTCATATGGAATCAGCACTTTTTAATCCCTGGCAGAGGTAGCACAGGATAATTAGGGTGCATGGATAATTATATATTTAGGATCTCTTAGGGCCAAGAGGAGTGCACTTATGCATTGGAAGTGAAGAGTTCCATAAAATAAAAATGAAGTTGCAGATACTTTTCAAAAAAGTAATTCCTTAAACTTCCCAAAGTACAAATCAAGGAGGACTCAAAATGCACTTCTGGATACCTTTCCTTGCAATCAGGAAGTCTCAGTTCCAGATGCATGAGAAAGGCCAATGATAAGGCTGGAGCTAGATTTTTAGGGAACCCTTATCAAAATGTTATTTTGATAATAACATTACCTGCAGCCTTACCTGGAGACACTGGCTGATGACTATGAGCCACCATTTTCAATTTTATTCAAGTGTTCTAAAGGTGAATTATATAAATTGGTAAGCAAGATTCTTGTTCTGTCCCTTGCATTCCTGCATCCATCACCCAAGCCATGGGACAAGAGATTTTCCAAACCAAAGCACACTCTGTAACCATGGAAGCTCTTCACACAACTTTAAATACTAGAAAATCAGGATAGTACATTGCATGGAGAACCTCTAGGCACACAAGACATATTTCAATCCACACAGCCACCCTAGCACAACATTCTGGGACCCTATCAAGCTGGACCTCCACAGGCTACATGGAGGACACTGTGGTAAATTCAAAAGGGTGATTCACAGATCTGTGTGTCAGGTGCCAAAGAATGTCAAGTGCTGATGTTGGGCCTGGACAGAGGAGAATTAAGGCTTTGAAAAATATAATTCTTCATACACTCACAGATTACCTGCTATGTTGTCAGCCTAACAGCCAGTTCCTTCATGAAGATCCTCATCAACACACATGGCTAACAGTTATTTTGAACCCTATAAATAGTTGTTTCCTCCTTCACCATCATCCACATAACAGGTGTTGTTATGTAGCTTCTGCAAAAATTATCTTCTTGGGGTATACCCCTGAAGAGTCTTCAGAAGATGGATTTTGGCCCATAAGCTTCCAGGTGAGGCTTTTCTCCTGAGTTCCTCGAACCTCAAACATAGGACTTTTACATGGGGTCTAAGCAATGTTCCTTCTGTTTGCAGAAAATTTATTTCCCTCCCTCCCCCATCATCCTGACAGCTCCCAGGATTGGCCATAATGGCTGAGGGATGCTGGGAATTGGTATCCAAAAGGTAACTTTCCTAAACTCTGATCAGTTGTAACCTTCCTTTATTTTCCTACCCCTTCCATCTGTCTTTTTACCAGAGAAAAAGAAACAAAATAAAAGCCAATTACAGAGAAAAAGATGGAATTGTTGCATAGCATGTGTGATTGGTACTACCAGAATCCTTTCATTTGAAGGTGACCTTAACAATGTGCTAAGGAGCAATTAAATCTGGGAAGGAGGGGCAGCAAACATGGGGTTTAAGCAATGTTCCTTCTGTTTGCAGAAAATTTATTTCCCTCCCTCCCCCATCATCCTGACAGCTCCCAGGATTGGCCATAATGGCTGAGGGATGCTGGGAATTGGTATCCAAAAGGTAACTTTCCTAAACTCTGATCAGTTGTAACCTTCCTTTATTTTCCTACCCCTTCCATCTGTCTTTTTACCAGAGAAAAAGAAACAAAATAAAAGCCAATTACAGAGAAAAAGATGGAATTGTTGCATAGCATGTGTGATTGGTACTACCAGAATCCTTTCATTTGGAGGTGACCTTAACAATGTGCTAAAAAAGGTAAAGGTTCCCTTACTTAGTCGGTTGTGTTCGACTCTAGGGGGCGGTGCTCATCCCCGTTTCCAAGCCGTGGAGCCAGCGTTTGTCCGAAGACAGTTTCCGTTGTCACATGGCCAGCGCGACTTAGATTTGGAACACTGTTTACCTTCCCATCGAGATGGTACCTATTTATCTACTTGCATTTGCATGCTTTCGAACAGCTAGGTTGGTGAGGAGCTGGGACAAAGCGACGGGAGCTCACTCCGTCGCGTGGATTTGATCTTACAACTGCTGGTCTTCTGACCCTGCAGCACACAAAGGCTTCTGCAGTTTAGCCCGCAGTGCCACCACGTCCCTTTTAACAATGTGCTAAGGAGCAATTAAATCTGGGAAGGAGGGGCAGCAAGGACTAATGGGCACACACCTTGCCATACTGACACTAATGATGGCAAGGCTATGCATACCCCTCAAAGACTATTTAAAAATGCAGACAAGGTCTATCTTAAGCATGGTTTTGTAAGGCACATGAGTCTTACTTGACCATTTAATGCCAAAGCAGACCCACAAAAGACTTTGCTATGACAACAGCAATAGTCCATAGTTCCTTCCATTAAAATGTTCAAGCTGAGATGGTATTTGCACTGCCCACAGAGGTGTAAGTTAACATTAAATAAAGCTTGAGCATTCAACTGTAAAAACCCTTCATCATCATCTTAAAACTGCAGATTCTCCAAGGCACACAAATACAATTGTATATTAATACAGTTAATACAAAAACAAAACTTTCTTTTTAAAAAAGCTATTGCTACATCTGAGTTGATTTGCTATCCTAGATCTTCTACCCCCCTTCTGGACAGCTAATCTGAACCCTATGAAATGTAAGTTTTTCTCACAAAACAGAGGCATTGCCAAAATGGTTGAGGTTTTGTTCTGTTCTGTTTTAAGGACTGTAGAGTTGGTAGATTCAGAATAAAAGTTTATCAAACCCTTTGAAACAAGACATGGTCACTGATTCTGAGGGTTGGCTCTACCATTAACAAGAATACAACAGCAATAGTTCATAGTTCCTTCCATTAAAATGTTCAGGCTGAGATGGTATTTTCACTGCCCACAGAGAGGAAAGTTAACATTAAATAAAGCTTGAGCATTCAACTGTAAAAACCCTTCATCATCATCTTAAAACTGCAGATTCTCCAAGGCACACAAATACAATTGTATATTAATACAGTTAATACAAAAACAAAACTTTCTTTTCAAAAAAGCTATTGCTACATCTAAGTTGATTTGCTATCCTAGATCTTCTAACACCCCCCCCCCTTTCTGGACAGCTAATCTGAACCCTATGAAATGTAAGTTTTTCTCACAAAACAGAGGCATTGCCAAAATGGTTGAGGTTTTGTTCTGTTTTAAGGACTGTAGAGTTGGTAGATTCAGAATAACAGTTTATCAAACCCTTTGAAACAAGACATGGTCACTGATTCTGAGGGTTGGCTCTACCATTAACAAGAAGAAACAGTTCCCTGGGTCCACAAGGGTTAAGGATAGTGCTGGGTTGCTGGCAGCAAACTGCTGCTGGACACAGCTATGTAGTCCACATATGTAGGCTCTCCTGCCTATTTGGAATGAATGTTGTGCCGGTTATGCTAAGTTCAACTAATCAGGTACAATGGAGGGAGCTGTTCTGTTGCCAGCAACTAAAAGTGAAATCCGACTGTTTCTGTATATGGGTTATTTATAGATCTGTTTTATTCATTTATATCCTACGTTTCTCCAAAAACGCAGAGCTCACAATAAAAATGAATGCAATTAAAACACAAAGCAAGTTCAACTATTGAAACAAAATGACATTTAAAGTGGGATTTAAAACACATAATTAAATAAAGTACATCACTCACCCCACCCCTGTTTGTGAAAGGACAACAGTAAGAGGGCAAGCCTTAGTTAGACTGGAAGCATCCAGATACTGAAGGCAATCCTATATTTGTCCATCACACGTGCCTCCAATGAAACAGGGAGAAGCATGCTATCTTTTGCCTCTGACAATAAAATAATCTAGGCCAGGCTTGTTCCTATTTTAATTTCTCCACATCCTCTACTCCTGGTTAGCCTGCCACAGAGTTCCATGAGTAAACAGGCACACTGCTGAGAGATTGTTGTTAGGCTGTTTCTTTTCTTCTTCTTTTCCTCTTTTTTTCTTTTGCCCAAATCCATTTTTTTCTGTTTCTAAATGCAGAATTTACTTCCTGTAAAATAGCTAAACTGAGCCTGTCATACTTTGAATGTATCATGACAAGGCAAGACTCATTGGAGAAGGCAATCATATTACTGAAGACAGTAGGAAATGAGGAAGACCTATCATGACATGGATTGAGTCAATGAAGGAAGCTGCGGTCTTTAGCTTGCCGGATCTGAGTAGTGCTTTTAATGACAAGACCTTTTGGATGCTTTTCAGTCACAAAGTTGTTATAAGTCAGAAATAACTTCATGGCACACGTATAACAAAAATGCAAAATCCTCCCTCCTATTTGTTACTATAGATGTAAGGGTAGGTCAGTAGCCAGGATCCAGTAACATCTCAGACTGCATCTTCTATATTTTGGCAGTGTTTGGTATGGATCGCTGGTACAATTTAAGTCACCTTTAAGTTCACAAATGTGATGGAATTTGAGCTCAAACACAAAATCAACATTTCATTGGACTCTGCCACAAAGGCCACAAAATTATACCCCAGGCTTTCCTAACTTGTTACCCTTCAAAAATTTTGGAGTGCATTATCATTGATCATAGCCAGCACTGCCATAGATCCAGCTCAAACCCCGCATACACAAAATCAAAATTTCATTGGACTCTGCCGCAAAGGCCACAAAATTACACCCCAGGCTTTCCTAACTTGTTACCCTTCAAAAATTTTGGAGTGCATTATCATTGATCATAGCCAGCACTGCCATAGATCTTGCTGGCTGAGGATGATGGCAGCTGTAGTAAAAAATATTTGCAAGCCCCTGGGTTAGGAAGGTTGTTCTACCCTAATATACCTGGAACAATTCCAACAATTTACCAATTGATCAGATCACTTGTGGTAATACTTCTCATTTCGGCCTTTGATGCC